ATGTTCACATTACAAACAAAACTTACAACCCACGTAAATTACCAAAAAGAGGTCAAAATATTGCAAAAATAGCTCTTACTGGCGTTAATCATGCGCATTAATGTGGTGAGAAATACTGCAAAACTGGCCATAAATCAAATCATGAACTTTTTTAACTTGAATCTTTTTAAAGATCCTGTATGTTGTAATTGAGGTTGTATACCATGTATGTATGTGTATAGTCTGTGCGTAATGAGGGTCAATCTGCCCGTAAGGGCACAAAATACAGCTTTCGCTGTCGAGTAGGGATCCCTGACATGTCGCCAGTCATGCCCTTAAAGAGTTAATTTTGAAGTACAAAGTGGTGATAATTTACCTCCATGCAATTTCCACTTAGTATTAATTTTGAGCCAAAAGTAGGTCAATGTACGGCGGTCAATGAGAACCTAAATGTACAGTAACCTGAGACAAAATTAAAGGGTAGCCCTGAAAAGGGCTGTTGGTGCCAGCAAAAGGCCTGCCGTTCAAGCCGTCTAACCGTGCTAGGGGTCACGCACCCTAGCACACCATCCTCGTCGACCCAAAGCCTACTTGTTGGGCCACTCCCCTCGGCTTTAGTCAGGACATTGGCAGCTGGTCCGCAGTACAAGTTTCGATCTTTAGCGCCATCCCAGGTCTTCAAATCTTCTGCCGATGCCTTGTGTCTTCTCTACGACGTACACGTACCGAGGGGAAGAGAGAAAGGCGTGTATACCACACTTAAATGAAATTATATATATGTATATAATTATGATTATAAAACAATTTTCAAACATCAAATAATTTAGAGGTTAATACATGGTTGCTGCTCGCCATTATGCAATAATGGCCCGAAGATGTGCATAATGGCCTGAGGGCCGCAGGTTATTATGAACTCGCATAATGGCGAGCAGCAACCAAGTATTATTAACGTCTTTAATACCTAAGTCTGAAATACGGCGTTTAGACATCGCCATTACTTTTAATGTCGTGGTACACTTCCAATTGATTGTGTCATTAAATGTAGTCCTAAATTTTTGGTGCAAAATCATTAATTCGAAACCTGATAAAGTATGTAATATTATGTACAAACTAATGTTTGAATTGGACCGTCATTACGTATATCACTCCCCATGGATAGCATAATTATGTTAAAAAATCATTGCAAGAGCTTAGTTTTGCTGAATACTGGATAAACCAATCTGTGTTATCACCTTCTTATTTTAAAAATATTGTCAAATTCAGAATCAAACACCAATATGTTCAAATGTGGCATGAACAGGTGTTTACTCAAGCAAATATATCACTTACAGAATTTTTAAATCCTCATTTGAGTTAGAACCCTATTTTAAACTTTTACTAAGAAATTTAGCTTTATCGCTGTGTAGGTTTAGATGTAGTAACCATAAACTTCCTATTGAAAAGGGTCGTTCATGATTTAAGATATTGCCATCTCTGTCCAAGTATTGCTTTATTAGGTGATGAGTTTCATTATATTTTTCAGTGTCCTTATTTTAACATATATCGTAGAAAGTACTTGCCCATTAATTTACGGAGAGGTAACATATTTAATTTACAGCAATTATTTCAAAATACTGTATTAATCAAACTGTCTGTTTTTATACAAAGAATAATGTCTATTGTGAAATAATGTTAACCACCTTCTTGTCAGTATCTATTGCCAAGTATTGTCTTGATTTTCATTATTTAGTTTATCTATTTTTATGTATTTTATTTAATTTTTTATCATTTTCTTATTTTTAAGGTCTCATGACAAATTTGTAAACGCATTATTGTGACACTTCCTATGTAATTCTAGTGGAACTAATTGTACCGGCGTGGTGTGGTTGCAATGTGGGGCTTCATGGGCCCCATGTTGTGGTTACACCATGTCGCTGCATCACTTCATTTGCGTTTTTGGTCAGGAATTTTCATTGTTCGGTTGCATAATGTCTCATTCTAGTCTCTCATCTGTAAAGTCATTCATAAGTATCTCTAGTCTTATTTTTGTATTTATCATGCAAATTATTTTGTCTCAAGCTTTATTTACACACCTGTATTATTTTTTTTTGTTAATGCTTATTTGTTTGTGAAATTTTACTGTTTATAAAACTGATGCCCATATGGGCCTAGTTGAAATAAAAACTTGAACTTGAACGCTTTTTACTTTGACGTTCTAACAGTACTATAAAACCTGTTGTCTCTTTAGCTATATCTCAAAAAGTCACTGCCTGCTGTACAAAATCAATGGTTTCTTTTAGTAGATATCAAAAGTTAATGTTTGCCATGGAAGTCACTGGTTGCTAGGGAAATTTACAGTTCGCTATTGAAAGTCAAGGACTGCTATGAAGTTACTGGTTGCTATAGAAGGACAATGGTTGCTATCAGAGTCACTAATTTCTATCGAAAGTCTATGGTTTCTATGGAAAGTCAGTGGTTTTAATGTAATTCACAGATAGCTATGGAAATTCACTGGTTGCTATGGAAGTAAATGGTTGCTATGGAAAGTCATTGGTTGCTATGTAAATATATGGTTGCTATGGAGACAGTGGTTACTATGGGAGTCCATGGTTACTATGGAAATTCACTGATTCTATGACCCCGGGGCTGGGGCAAAATTTGATTTGAGGGCTATAATTTGAACAACTAACCAAACATCTATATAGATATATCCCTTGCAGTTTTCAAGAAGAATTTTTTGAAGTATTAACTATACATTGTGTAAGGAAAAGTCATCTCCCCCATAGGGTAGGCCAGTTTGGACCCAAGGGCTATAATTTCAACAAATTCAGAAGAAGACTTCTAGAAAATGTTCATAAGATTTTTGTTTGTTTTTACTTTATACATGTAAGGAAATTCTATGTTTCCCCAGGACAGGGCCAATTTTGACCAAAGGACTATAATTTTAGCAATTTTTGTAGAGGTTCATCAGACAAAATTTCATGCTTAAGCCTATATAGTATAATGGAAGAAGGTTTTTTTGTTTTTTTTAATATATACATGCAAGTACTAGTATAATGAGAGACTCTTAATTCAGAAAAGATGTGGTAGTCATGGGATAAACTTTCTGCACCTTAAAATATTGGTAATTCCTTTTAACAACTACATTGTGTATTTCTTTACAATTGATAGAGGTAGTGAGGCATAATGACAATGTATCATAAAACAAATACAGCAACATTATATCAGTCCATCCACCCATATCAGTCTTTCAGTTAGAGAAAACTGCCCACATTAGGGCATAACAGAAGTATCATTGTCCCAGCTAACAACTGCAGTAATCCCAGACATGTTTCATTCAAAGTCAGTTTTGATAACTAACCAGTGGTGGTGGTAATTTTTGTAGTTTTCCATATGGATCACAGCAGTATTAGCCAAATTGAACACAGTTCAGGAACAGCACCATTCCTGGGCAGGCTGACATAATTTTACCACTACTAGTTGCCTTCACTTTTGAATGGAACGTATAAAGCAGAGGTGCAGTGCAAATGACTGTAAAACAATTTAAAGAAAGTTACCTGCACTGTTCGGGGATCAAACTAGGGTCGCCGTTTTCACAGTCCAACAATATACAGATTCAGATGGCCGAATGGTACTCACCTTTAAACTTATCTCTTTATATGGATATGTATCATTTTCAACAGTGAGGATTTTCATCAGTTTTAGTTAATAATATTGTATAATTTCAAAATATTTACATCATACATAGTATGATCAATAACATTTATAAAGTGTAATATTTTAGGAGATAAAGTTGGGGTAACATACTATATTTTTATAATAAATTAATACAAACACTGTAACCACCCTTTCATGCATATAAAAACTGATATGAAGGTTTTGAATGAATCAATTTGACCTTGAGAAAAGCCCAAACCATTGCTCTGTACAATCAATATTTCTGTCAAACAGTTCAAAAGACGCAGAGTGGACACAAAATTTTGAAATTTATACATAATGCCTAATTGTGAACTTGACCTGGCCCCAAGAAGCCAAACCTACAAACCTTACAAAGATACAGAGCATACATGAATCTGCTAACAGATAGACTGACAGGTTCATAACATTATACATAATTCATTTTCTTCTGGTGTAGTATAAATACAAGTATGTGGACAACACCAGAATTTATGCAATTAGAAGAGCTCATCTCTAAGCACTCTGTGCTCAGGTGAGCTTGAAATGTTACTGACAAAATACTGTTTCCTCGGCTCTTCATAGGTTAGTCACAACATTTGGTTTTTCTTGGTGATCGACATTCACTCTTAGCCTACAGGTGGCAACTGTATCTACCCATGAAACCAGTGCAGACCAATATCAGTATGCACAATTGTGTCATTTGATCATGATCCCCACTGTTTGTTATTCAGCCAGTACTTATTTTGTGATTTTCTGCTTAAATGATGAATGGTTTTGTCCAGATTGGTTAAGTCCATTTAACATTTCAATAAACAAATGAGCCGTGTCATGACAAAACCAAAATAGTGGGTTTGCGACCAGCATGGATCCAGACCAGCCTGCGCATCCGCGCAGTCTGATCAGGATCCATGCTGTTCGCTATCAGTTTCTCTACTTGTAATAGGGTTTGTAAACGAACTTGTCGCAAACGCACTATGTTGGTTTTGTCATGGCGCGGCTCAAATGTACTCTCTGTAGGATTTGTGTGTTTATTTTGTTCTCTTTTTGTCATATTGACATTAGAAAGGTCATATAGCAACTTTCCAGATTTACCTTCACTATTGAAAGTAGACCTCAGATGCCCCTTTGTGCATTATTTCAGGACTACTGACCTTCTGTAAGCTAGCTGGTTAACTGCTTCACTCTCCCTTACAGGATTCTAACCAACAGCGGTGAGAGGCAAGTGATTTGGAGTTGGCGTCATTTACCAGCATGCGGGATGGACTATATTTACAATATAACGAGTCTTCATGATGGTAGTTTAATCACAGAAAACTTTTCTATGAGTAGACTGTGAAGATAAGGTCATTGAAAATACAGCAAAGCTTAATATACTAACATTTATTAAAATTCAATGTGAAAAAAAGTTGCATAACAACAGTACTATTTCTATCTGGATAAAGGTCAATAATTTATAATGTAGCACTGAAAACGTTAATTTTACCACACACAAAATAATGTTATACTGGTATATAGACACAAACATTTAACCATATCAATGATTTTGATAAAATATGAATTTCACATTAAATATGGGTATAATACATGTATAAAGTTTGCTATTTCATATCAAGATCAAACTTGTTCAAGTTTCATGTAAATCTCTGATGTGCTAGCCATCTCTTAACTTTCTAAAACTCTTTTTTCAAAATACTTTTAAATGTTATATAAACTTCATATTTGATAAATTGGAAGAAATTATTACAGAATTTTGAAACATGATGTCACTTTTAAATATACAATAACAACATTCACGTTATACATATACTTTAAAGCTGCATGTCTCCAGATGAGACAAAATATTCAAAGAAAACAAAATGTACTAATATTTGAGAAAATAAAAATATTCAAGTAAACATTTACATGTAATGTGCGATTAAGACTGATTTTACAGTATCTACAACCATATTTCTACTGCCTGACTAACACAGTAAGGGCTATTTTTGCATATTTTGACCTCTTTTTGGTAATTCAAGTGAACTGTAAGTGATGTTTGCAAGGTGTAAAATACTTTCTTTGTTCACTTCATAATATTTTACTTTTAAATACATTTTTAAAATTAAAATTTCCATGGAAAATAGCATGAATCTGGAGGCATGCTGCTTTAAGAAGATCTATACACAAGGTACAGTCTGTAGGTGAACTGTTTTGAAATCAGTGCTCAAACAACTTTCAAGCAAGGAATTAACCAAAAAATTTATCTTACTTTTATGTACAAGAATTTTTTAATAAATCTTTAAAACAAACCACCAAACATGGAGTATTGTCTTACAATAATAACAATATACACTCTCTCAATTAGCATAAAGTTACATAATGGTTTCAGATTGTTTTTCATTTTTGGGTAAGGGGACAACACTGAATTGGAATGTTAGGGTCATCCAAAAAATGTTTGTTTTGCAGTAACACAACCTTAACTTTCCTTACAATACAGAGGTAGTGAGGCACAAATTCATTCCACAATAACAGAAAAAGAACACAAGATGTGCTCATAAAACCTAATAAACCTAACTGCTCCATCCTAATTATGTTTCTAATTTTGACACTGAAGATAAAGGTCAATTAGAGAATTAGAGATCAAAGACAAATTTCTGAGAGTTGAAGTCAACCTCTCAGTCAGAAGTATATTAAGCCTAAGTTCTAGCCTACTAAATAAAAACATAATTGTGCTAAGACTGTTGACAGACAGACAGATGGATAGGTTATTAATCACATACTCCCAACCTATCAATTGATGCAATGCCATTTAAATCTTGTCAGAATCTTTAAGAACACATTCAGTTCTGTAAACTATGATATACTTTAAATTTTGACAGACTCAGTTGTGTATCATGTAAACAAATAATTTTTGGACTATGACCTTTGTTATACAGGGAATTATCAATTGTTTAAGAAAAAAAACTTCCATGACAATGATTTTAACTTTAATGCAGTGTTATCTAATTAGAAATAATTATGATACTTAATTTACAAAATGAGACGATTCTTTACCTAACAAATTACCAAGTCAAGAGCCTATATATGTATATATTTCATATGTTATTTAACAAAATGCAGCAAGTCCAAGAGTGAGGTTACTACAGGAAACAAAACAAAACATCTTAATAAACTGACTAGCATGTACCAAAGTCAAGGCCACAAAATGGCTGCTTTACCTCAAAATATAAACTAAATCAGAGAAAAAGATGTCTAAACAATTAATATTTTGTCATATTTCATTACTGTCCTTATTAAAGCAGCTCAAAGTAGGAGAACATAACAAAATTTAGTCTGCCATAAATAAAGAAAAGGACTTTTGATCATAAGATAAAATTCTAACTACATAATTACATGTTTAGTTACAATATTATACATGTATGTTAATCAACAAACATGGAGAAAAACGAGACTTTCTGCAAAAAAAGGTTCACAATATTCTTTTAAACACTTGTCAGACAACTAAGCATAATAGTGCATTAAAGTAAAGTATAAAAAAACAGTTTTAACACCTCATATTCCTATAACCAAATAAGAAGAATTTAGTGTTCATATCAGTCAAATCCTAACCACATAAAAGGCTATTTATGAAACTTACATATACAAAGTGATACATGTATAAAATAGCAAAATTAGCACTTTTCTTACAAAGTAAGACATTTTGAAAGTTTAATGTAAAAAAATTGTGATTTCTCCCCCTGTCAAATTAAAACTTCATTTAACTTAGTAAATTTTCCTTTATTTATTTAAACTATTATACTTTTACATTTCCTTTACAAAACCAGAGCAATGCTGATACATTTCTCTACTCCCCTGTGAACATTTTGGTATAACCAAAACACAATACAGGTAGATCAAATAATGTTCTTTACACTGTATCGTGACACAAACAAACACAGGTTTTATCAGGGGAAAATGCATTAAGGTGAACTATCAATTTCACATAGTCTTATATACATCTACATCTGCTGTTGTATACACAACACTGTTTAATTATCATTAATCAATGTGAATATTGCACACAAGAAGCATTCAATATTTAATAATATACAAAACAGAATATACAATTACCAAATTTTTGCAAGTTGATATTATATGCCAAATGCAAAATGAAAAATTCAATCACAATTTTATAAACACCTTACTCCCGTAAAAGTTATTAATTTCTAAAAAAAATTTGCAAACTTAATTTATATCTCTTTGCCAATTGTTATAGTTCAAGTATGCACATTTACTGTTGACTCCAGATAATTATCAAAAATTCTTCGACACAAAAAGTGTTTCCCTTTCCATTCAAGCATTATGAATGTTAATTTCATCAAATGATTAGATTTTTATCTGTTACAGGTAACATGCCATACTAATTTGTATTAAATTTGTTTAAAAAAAGGTTTTGTGGTTGACATAGTTACAATGTTACATTCCTGGAATAATCAAAATAATATCAACGTTTTTTACTAGCTGGTATTCAAAAATCTTAAATCACTACAAAATATTTAATATAAAAATTCTAAAGATTAACTACAATGTAAATTAAAATTTTAACAAATTGATAGTTTCAGGAACAAGAAAAAAAAGTAAAAAAAAAAGCAAAATTTTATGTTAAAGATTATTTTAAACAGAAGGATGTTATAATGTTTTATGACAAGCTCTCACACTAGTCTATCTTCTCCTTCTCCAAAAACACATTATAATTAATGGAAGTTCACGACATCAGTCCTGTACAGTCAAAACAAATAAACAACAACCGCGATAACTCAACACTTACAATAACATCTCTCACGACCCTCCAACCACCTGTTTATATAGTGTACAGTGTATATCTGGAAAATCATATTCACATTGCCATATTACTTTAAACATTTATAGACAAATTTTTATATTATAAATTATTTCATAAATTTACAAATCAACCATCTTTTAGTCTTTAAATTGGTTCAATGTTCAGGTTTTATTTCAAGTCATCGTTATTTATCCTCTTTTTCACACGCAGTAACATTGTAGTAGTCCATTGGTCTAGTCGAGATATTGTATCATATTCTTTTATTGCATCGGTAAAAGCATCAGCATCTTCATCCTCGCATGCTTGTGTTAACGTCTGTAAAAAAATTATTGGCATGAAAACATATCGGTGCAAAAATAAAGATACAGAAGGCCACATTAAATAATAATTAAATTATACAAGAGCCCGGTTTGAGCCGGGTGATGCTCCCCGAATAGGTTTTGGACACAGGAAAGTACACCTCTTGTAGTTTCAGAGTTATGTCCGTGGAAAAAGTTCAAAGTGCAATAATTCCAAAATTGGGCAAGGCAGAGTTACTGTTCTTTGCACTGCACTTCTAATCACTGTGATCTATCAACCTAAAAAGTTTCTTGTTGATATCTCTTATGGTTTCAGAGTTATGTTCCGGACAACTTCAAAAAGTAAAAATAAACAAAGGGCAATAACTCCAGGATTAGGCAAGGCAGAGTTATGATTCTTGTGCACTGCACATCTACCCATTGAGATATATCTACCTACAAAGTTTCATGTTGATATCTCTTACAGTTTTACAGCTATGTCCAGTACAAGATTTTTCTAAAAGGGGAGATAATTCAAAGTTGAGGCTTAACAAAGTTATGGTTCTTTTGCACTGCAATTCTACTCAATGAGATCTATCTACCTACAATGTTTCATCTTGATATCATAGATAGTTTAAGAGTTATGTTCGGGACAATGTTCAAAGTGTTGAAATTAACAAAGGACAATAACTCCAAAATTAGGACAAAAAGAGTTATTGTTCTTATGCACTGCACATCTACCCATTGAGATCTATTCACCTACAAAGTTTCATGTTGATATCTCTAATAGTTTTAGAGTTATGCCCCGGACAAGATTTTTCTATAAGGGGAGATAATTCAAAAACCGGGCAAAATAGAGTTATGGTTCTTTGACACTGCACTCCCCCTCAATTCCCTCTACCACTGTATGAAGTTTAAACAAATTATCTCCAAGGGTTTTCAAGTTATGCTCCGGACAAGACAACGGACGGACAGGCGGACAGACGGACAAGGCGCCGACTGTATCAGTTACTAAACTGTGCCATGAGTTCTAAACTTTTTAACTGTAAATTTCATCTTTTTTTAACACCACCAACCAGTTTCAAATACATTTATGTATTACTTAAATCTCCAGTTCTTTTCTTTTTTTAATTTTCTTGTACTGATGCACACCAGTACAACAGATCTACACAACTACTCAACAAGGGTGCCATAGTCACAAAATACGCCCGTTTACGAAAGCTTTAGATGGAGATGGGGGCATTATGGATAAGTGTTATCTAGCAAGCAAGTTTTTATTCTTGGCACTGTGTTGTTAAATGAACCTTAAAACAAATCAGTAGGGAAGATATGCACAGGATGTGTGACCTTAACCTTGGTCGCAGGGACCTGAATTTTATGCACGGCACTCAGCCTCACAATGATGAACATTTGTGCCAAATTATATTGAAATCCCTCTATGCATGTAGAAGTTTTGCTCCAGACAAGCGTTTTTCTATGAGCTCTAACTGTGACCTTCACCTTTGACCTAGAGACTTGGTTCATGTGCAGGGCACTACGTCTCATGGTGGTGAACAATTCTATAAAGCAACATTAAAATTCCTCCATGCATGTAGAAAATATGCTCCGGATAACATCTGGATATTTAATCATCTCCAGTGACCTTGACCTTGCAAATATTAACCTAAATTAAATTGGTCACACCTGTAGTCATGATAGTTACCATTTGTGCTACAATCCATCAATAAATGATTACTAAATGGTCCCTATACACATCTTCAAATTTTTATCTGAACTTTGACCTCTATGTGTAACCTTGACTTTGGTCGCAGGGATCTGAATTTTGCGTGCAACACTCAGTCTCACAATGGTGAACATTTGTGCCAAGTTATATTGAAATCCCCCTATGAATGTAGAAGTTTTGCTCCGGACAAGCGTTTTTCAATGAGCTCTAAGTGTGACCTTGACCTTTGACCTGGAGACCTGGATCATGCATGGAGCAATACATATCATGGTGGTGAACATTTCCATAAAGTATTATAAAAATTCTTCCATACATGTAGGAGATATGCTCCAGACAAAATCTGGATATTTCACCATCTTAAGTGACCTTGACCTTGCATATATTGACCTAAAGTACATGTGTCACAGCCATAGTCATGATAATGACCATTTGTGTTACAATCCCTCAAAAAATGATGATTAAATCGTCCCTATACACATCTTCATATTTTTATCTAAACTTTGACCTCTATGTGTGACCTTGACCTTGGCTGCAGGGACCTGAATTTTGTGCGCGACACTCCGCCTCACAATGGTGAACATTTGTGCCAAGTTATATTGAAATCCCTCTATGCATGTGGAAGTTTTGCTCTGGACAAGCGTTTTTCAATGAGCTCTAAGTGTGACCTTGACCTTTGACCTAGAGATCTAGTTCATGTGCGTGACATGGCTTCTCATAATGGTGAACATTTCTATGAAATTTCATTAAAATCCCTCCATGCGTGTAGGAGATATGCTCCGGACAAAATCTGGATATTTCATCATCTTTAGTGACCTTGACCTTGTATATATTGACCTAAATTATATGTATCACAGCCATAGTCTTGATAATGACCATTTGTGTTACAATCCCTCAATAAATGATGACTAGATGGTCCATATACACATCTTCATATTTTTATCTGAACTTTGACCTCTATGTGTGACCTTGACCGCAAGGACCTGGATCTTGCGCGCGACACTCCGCCTCACAATGGTGAACATTTGTGCCAAGTAATATTGAAATCCCTCTATACATGTGGAAGTTTTGCTCCTGACAAGCATTTTTCAATGAGCTCTAAGTGTGACCTTGACCTTTGACCTGGTTCATGTGCGCTACACTGCTCCTCATAGTGGTGAACATTTCTATGAAGTTTCATTAAAATCCCTCCATACAATTAGGAGATACGCTCCGGACAAAATTGGACGCCGCCCGCCCGCCCGCCCCCGCCTGCCAGGGCGTTCCATAATACGTCCCGTTTTTCAAACGGCGTATAAAAAAGTTGTGATGCAGTATCTATAACATTGATAGCTTGATATATTTCTATTTATAGCTCTACATTATAACCAAACATAATGATATGAACAATCTTCAAAAAAAAATAACCAAACATAATAATGGGAACAGTTTTCAAGAATAATAGCCCTGCGAGATAGATGATTGGACACAAGTTTGTGGAATTTTGACCACATGTTTCAGAAGAACAGTTGTTATAACTTACTGATTCTTGACACAGTATGCTGTACAAGTCAATGGACACATCAAAGTAGTCACAAATATAAAAACGGCAATATTAAGTTATATAACATACCTTTAATAATTTACACTCTCTAGCATCTGAGAATGCTGGGAAAAGGTCCTCATATTTTTGTAGATTTTGCTGAGCATTAAGCACATCTATACAAAGATGGCATACAGCAGCTCTAAAAAAGTGATCTTTGGCACTGTATTTCAGTAATGAATTGTCCATACATGACATTGCCACCTGCAAGTTATAAATACAGTTACAAATAATTATTATACAATAGTTAAAATAATAGGAAAATGAAGAAATACAGCACGACAACACCAGTGCTGGTTCGGAACTTGAAATTATGTATTCCCTACTGGTTATAGAATTTATATTTCCTAAATAATTTCTATTTCATTTTGGTTGGTATAAAAGCCACACAAACATTTCATAACATATATGAATAATTTAAAGCATTGTGAAGGAAGAACTTGGATAATTTCATGTGTATTATTTCATACATTAAGGGGCATTAAGTTAGGCTGTTACAGTGATAGATCAGATTACAACTGCTTTCTCAAATATTTTTGTTTAAAATTTTATAAGACAAAATTTTAGAGGATTAAAGTACATTGTATGCTTTAAGATAAAGATATTTTAATTTCTGTGTACACTGAAACAACATATTTTCATGGCACTAGTTAAACACTAGTTAAGTATTTGAGTTATATATACACGTTAAAATCTAGGACTGTAGTGAAAGCTTGCATAATACTTAAAAGTTAAATTCAACAAATTATGCTAGTGGTGATAGTTAAAAACCTACTTACTTTATGGACATTTTTGTATTTGATTAATAAGTCAAAAAAAATTTTAATGAAAGAAGAAAGCAAAACTGGTAAGTGTATCAATAGGAAACGACTCACCTCTTCATATATTTCAATAGCTCTGTCATATCTCTCTAACTGTGCAGCATACTGGGCTACCTTTAGTAAACATTTGTTAGCTGAGCTGAAAAACAACACACAATAAATCAGTATTTTATGCTTTACGATTTGACTTACAGTTAAATCCTAAGAATGACATAGAATTTACGATTATTCCCTTCTTAACCTTACAATACTACGAAAATGATGTGTAAAAAGTTGTGAAACATATATAAGTTTAGATATATAGTCTTCTCTGGAGATACTGTGCAGTACTCTCATAAGATTTTTTTTGTTTGTTTTGTTTTGGGTTTTACTTCACATTGACACAGTATAGGTCATATCAGCTTTACTGGTGGAGGAAGACCTCAGGTGCCCTTCCGTGCATTATTTCAGGCACGAACGGGCACCTGAGTAGAACCACTAACATTCCCTCTCATAAGATATTGCCTCACTCTGTACATGCCCTAATTTGCATATATAAACAACCAAAATGTTGCTGCCATAAATCAAACTTTGATGTGGCTATATATATATATATATATATATATATATATATATAATATATATATATATATATATATATATATATATATATATATATGCATTTTATAGTAAAGATGCAACAGTTATACCAGTAAAATAAATAAATGACAATTTTTTTCTTTACAATTTGGTAAACTTCACTAATATTTCAAATAATCGAAACAACATAGCCATAGAAGCAAAATATGGGCTACACAAAACAGTGAAAAAGCAAGATGGCAAAAATTCTTTAATCTATTATTATATATGTTTTTTATTATGGTATTTAAAGCTATAATGTTAGGTATATATAAGTATCAAAATCTATTACAATCGGTTAAATGGCTATAATCTATTGCAGAAGCTTGGTGAAAGAAGAAAATATATCTTGCTTATATGTGCTTACTCACATACTGGCAAGTGCTTACTCACATACTGGCAAGTATTTTTATGTCTTTTCTTTCATATGATTCATATCTACTGCAAAGTTAGTTTAGTATGACATGGCAAAGAATGTATCGTAGACAAACCAGTTCTCAAACCTCTAAGCATTCAAGAGGTTTTTAGTATCTAAGCATTCAAGAGTTTTTTAGTATAAATAAAGATGTTTTTCTGTAAAACTTCTTTACATATGTACACTTTAATCTTTATGTAAAATTTGGCTAAAATTCAACAATTAAAAAAGCTTTATTTCCATCTTGGAAAAGCATAACCCTCTTTTGTAAAACTGACCTAGCCTCTTAAAATGAGCCGTGTCACAACAAAACCAACATAGTGCGTTTGCGACCAGCATGGATCCAGACCAGTCTGCGCATCCGCGCAGTCTGATCATGATCCATGCTGTTCGCTATCAGTTTCCCTATTTGTTATACGGTTGAAAAGCGAAAAGCATGGTTCCTGATCAGACTGTGCAGATGCGCAGGCTGGTCTTGATCCATGCTGGTCCCAAGCCCATTATGTTGGTTTTGTCATGATGCGGCTCAAATAAAGAACCTAACCTCTAATCCCGTCAAGTATCTCTGAAATTCTACAGTTTAGTTTAGCTAATGAAGTGATTGTTATATGAATATCACATGAAAATAAAGTACCCTACAGGATGCATGTACCTGATTTAAAATATTTTTGTCTATAATATTCATTTTCACAAATAGTTAATGGTGTATTTACAGGACTTACAAAGGTAATAGCAATATGTATGTATGAAATTACGCTGAATAATAAAATATGTAATGTAAATATTTGTTACTTTGCACTGTTTCCATTTGAAAGCAGCAGACATGTCTGTCAGAAACTGAGCTTTTATGCACATAAACTGAAGACATCAAAATCACTTCTAGTAAAAAAAAAAAACAACAGTTCATGAATGAAAGGTTTGAGAATAGGTTGGGTGTGAGATTAGGCACTTTTTTGCACATTTTCAGGATTTTAACATCTATATCATATATACATGTGTATGTATTATGACCTGATATCAATACCATGATAGCCAGTCATAATGATTAAATTCTTTAACCACTTGTCTATTTCTGACTTTGCAAGTGTGTTCTATGAAAAAGCCTTTTCAAATGTTTGCATAAATGTTACCCCTACCTCAATCCAACACCTAGGCAATGTTTCTGCCATGTCCTTGCCCAGGCACTTATTGACAACACTAGACCATGTAAGACAATGACAAACTTTGCGTACCTGTTTGATTCCTCTCCCTTGTAGTAATCTGCTGCTTGCTGGTAACTAGAAATTGCTTTATCCATATCTGCTAACTCTGACTCGTAAATCTCTGCTATAGTAACATGATGTTTAGCTGCTATATTAAATCTACCCTGTAATTCAACATACTTACATTTAACATAAAAACATTGACATTTAGCTGTTTATCTAGTAAATCACATTTTGGCACATATGCAATTGTTTGATATAAAACTATTTTTCTATACTGTTTCATTGTAAAAGTTTTCTATTTTTCAAAAAAAAGTAAAATGATATTTGTATATTTTGATATTGCTTGACTGCTTAAGAAGGAAACAAGTCTTGTAATTGGGCCCAGTAAAGGAAACATGACCTTTGACCTACAATTAAGACATGGTTGCCATAAAGAGAGTTGCGAGAGTAAAGAAATATTAACAAACATTTTCTTATATTTTCAGTATACTTATTTACATGTATCCATGAATAAATGACAAATTTACAACTACTAGTACTAAAACATAACTATCTGGTAACACAAGCATCAATGCACTTTTACCAAAAATTCTTAAACTTACTTTAGATGTATAAGTGTGAGCTTGATCTTTGATCTGGAGACCCGATTCTTGCATGCAACACATTGTCATTACATAAATGTCAAACACATTAATGTATATTTAAAGAATGGACACAGTTTTATTAAAAGTTTGTTTCATGTCTAAGTGCAGGCTTTTTTTCCTTACACAAATCCTATTGGTAAACAAAGACATTCCCTATTTTTCTCACCAATTGAGAGCAAGACATTCTCAATAGCCAGTCTGTATTAATATTTTTGTTGATTTCTTTAGAAGAAGTATTTTTGTTCAAAATGAAAAATCCCTCAAAATTACTTATACATGAAAATAGGATTTCAAAGGCTACTTGTTTGTTTTGTATTTCATATTTTCTTTAAGTTACTCTAAAATTCCCAATTTGGACTTTTAGAACATTTTTACCTTATTCTAACATCTTTGGAGGCACTTCAATATTAATGAAAAAGAGGTCTTTAGTGTGATAACAAACCCCAAATCATAACAAATATGCTACACCTTTTTGGAAATTATTTCAAAATCCATCTATGAATAAGAAAGTTATGAAAGAGAATAAAGCGAGCAGACAGACAGACACTTCTTAACCTATATGCCACCCTTTGGGTGCATAAAAAACATTTTACATACATGTATACAATGTAGTGTGCATTATATATTTGATACTGTGTGGAAATTCTATATATACAAAATGTACACTGTATTGATTACTTGACCCTAAATATTGTGAAAATAAAACAATAGAACCTCAAATTTCTCAACAATGCTTCAACTACACTCTATAAATATATTTCCTAACCAACATCCTGGTAACTTTAACTGTCATTGTAAAAACAAAGACTGTATAATTTTGTAGTTATTGATAACATATTACATAATATAAAACTGTGTGATAATAAACTGCCTCAATTACAAAAAAAAAGAAGTTGAAGAATAGATAAGAAACTTGCATACCATATCAGTGTATATTTCAATGGCCTTGCTTAAACAATTCACAGCCTCTGAAATATGACAACAACTTAAAGTTATAATCCCACATGTATTATAAACTAAATGAAATTAATGTGACATTATGTTAATCCAAGTGTGGTGTTGAGGTCAAATTCTAAATAACTTCAGAATTTGCCATCATTGTTTTTCATGTTTATAGTCTAGGTCATGTGTATAATCAATAACACATGTGACTCACAGAAACAATACAAAATATCCTTCAAAATTAGTACTGTTAACATTTAATTGATAAAAAGGATGAGCAGTCATTTAAACAATTTAGGCAGTTGTTATATTTTTAAATTTATGCTAAACATTTTTCATTATCAATTATTGGTGAATGACTTTTGTAACAGTCAATCTTTTTTATATATACATATGTATAGCCAAATTCACCTGAACTCAACAATGAAAATAAAAAGCATAATGTCACTTTAATTAACAATACTCTTACAATAGTCTATATTGACTTATTTCTAACAATATAGTGGTGAACTATAGCAAGGCTTGAAGCATATTACATTGGTACATTGAACCATTAAAATCTTGAATACAATTTTATGCTTATTGTAAGCTGTAGATACTACCAACAACAATGAAATGCATATGGCTATAAAATCTGAATTTTCACCACAAAGATTATATAAATGTACGCTGATTGTTGTTGTTTCTATTATATTACATAATTAACACCACAAAGCTAAGCGAGCCTGTAATATAGTACATTCTGAGCAGGTATTTTAGTGTTAACTTGTTACCCTAACAGTGACACTATAGATGGCTACAAATTTAAAGAAGGGCCACCCTGTTAGTTACATAGATTCAGCATGGTCAAGATGTAAGCTACATGTCACCTTAGTGCAAAAACTGATTTAGTATCATTTACTACCATTAAATTTAGAAGGACTTATTCTGTTATTGCACTAAGGTGACACATCAGATTATCTTCAAGCTACTTCCCTTGACCAATTTTAATGCATATACAATATATATTTATAAGTTGTGGTCACCTTGTGGATCAGCTTTTTTGTAAGCCCCTCCAGCATCAACATAATGTGTGGCTGCCTCATGTTTACTCCCAAGTTGTAACTGTAACTCAGCTGCTCTACAAAAGCACTGGCCGGCACCTAAAATCATAAAACATTCTTGAAAATTTGCCATATATATGGTTATCTCCATTAACATTATTATATAAAGAATGTGTAAAACGTTACTTGACTATCAGCAGCAAGAGCTCTTCTCAACTAGCCACTTTTCAAACAGGCAAAGTTGTCTAATTTATAAAATCTAAGGTGGTTATTCTCTACCTTTGCTCACACCAGCATTTACCTATTTACCTTATTTTTAATTTATACACCTAAATGAAGTATTTGGTGACATCATCCATTAAAATTTGAAAAATAGAAAATTAACTATTCATTAAAACCAAGATTTTTATCATTTTGTGTATAAAGCTATATCAGGACGCCTGCTATAAGTAGAATGTTTGTTTATGTCTTCAGTAAAACCATACTAAAGCACCTAAATTGAAAGAATTATGATCTTCAAGCTCTGATAAGCTCATTTCGCATTCTCAAAAAAAATTGTGAAACCAATTTAAAATAGAAGCTGAATATTTTGAAAAATCTTGTTTTGATTGATTTTTATTAACTGTTGATCAGTGCAATATTGCCAACACAGTAGTATGTTACATTTTAAAACAATATTTGTCAAGTACATATTTGCCAATGCTAGATTTACTCCCTTAAACTACATGTATATTGACATATTTCCAGCTATTTCATATCAATTCTACATGTATTATGTATGACAAAGGCTAAACAAGAAATCATATGTTACCTGGCCATTTTTTAGCCATCTTAAAGGCATTTGCACCCCTAACAAACAGTTCTGCAGCCTCTTCAACTTTACTACCTCCACTGAAAGTAAAAGACAATTTTCATTCTCTTTATTTACTATCACAAAACTTCTTCCATAATCATTATCATGAAAAAACAAACAAAAACTTGGATGCATTAACATTAGCAGTCTCTTTTTCCACATTCTTTTGAGGCCAGAGATCTTTGTAGACTGTCGATTTGCAGGCTCTTCTAAAGTGGAACATGAAAACTTTTATTTTGCTAATTTACTGTTAGTGTTTTATTAATTTTACCTTCAGCACTTAAATATTTTTTTGAGCACACAGTAGACAAATTATAGGTAAAACGAATTTGATTGTCTGAGTAATGCAAACAATGACATTTCTGTAATTGAGGACTCCTCACATTTGAATCGGGACACAACAATCTATTGGCACTGAATCCAGGACAACTCAGCCCTAAAAATAACTCGACGCCCAGGTCATCTCGTCCCAATTACAACTCAGACTATAATTACTGTTATTACTTATATTTTTATCATTATCACGTTTATAGACCTCTACTTATGGATATTTAAAAAGTCTTATTGATGAAAGTATGTGAATTTGTAGAAGGAAGAATTTACAAATTATATACATACGTATGTTTTGCATATTTCAGATCTATGTTTGTTTTTGTTTTTTGTAAAACACTTACAGCATTGGTCATTATAAGGAACAAACAATGTTTAAAATAATTACAATTACTGTCACAAAATTCAATCTAAACACTTTATTTATGGATCAATCATAAAACATCTTGTATTGAATTCAATTTAAAATCTCTTTTCAACAAAGATAATTTCAAACAATATGCTGTCAATTTTTCATCTTAAAGAAGTGATTTTTTTTCCAATTTTCAAAAAAAACCTGTGGCTTTCTGAATGGGAAAATATAGCGCATGAAATCTTAAAAGGGAAAAATTAAATACACCCATAACACTTTCAATATGATCTACTTAAATAACCGAGGTATATCGAGTGAAAAATACGAGTTGCTTCCGTTTATCTTCGGGTAAAATATGTCCCGCTTATGCTAAATCAATACAAAATAAGCAGTTTTTAAACTGCTAGTTTGTTGTGATTAAATGTCCGATTTTAAAATGTTTTACACCAATAAAAAGCTTTGGATCTTAGCTTTATCACAGTATTAACTTCAACACATCTTTTGACTACAAAGTATTTAAATTAAATGTTAAACCTATCATATGTCAGACCATTTTACATACGATTTATACAGAGAGATACGCAACCCGTTATCTTTACTCGAAATACTACTGATAAGAATAGCCTGTCGTCTGCTAGTTCTGAAAGTGTTTATCGGTGTATTCCAACAACTGAGAATAATAGTTTATAAATTTTCAATTTCAGTTCAATTTTACATGCATGGTTCCACAGATATACTATTCAACTCCATGATGGTTTGTAGCAGCTCTAGGCTATCTACAGGGACAGCTTTCTGTCTTCTAGCTGATACAATTGAGCTGCTCTTGTGAAGGATGTGGGCAGGGCACTTTAGGGGAAAATATTAGCTTGTTTAGGGGAAAATGTACCTACTTTGGGCTAGGGGAAACAGCATTTATTCGGCTGTAAAATTCAGGGCAAAAAATCACTGTAAAGAGTCTAGTAACTAAACAATCTATATACTAAAAGGTTTTAAATACTAATAGAGCTGAGTGCTGAGTTGTATCAGTCACTCTAGCCAAACAAATTGTGTTTAGGGCTTTTTATTATACAGACGATGGTTTTTATTGAAAAGATCAACATCAGCTGTGTAATATCATTTTGAAAAAATCGGTTGGTCCTGCAGTCGAAATATTGAGACTAAATTGACCTATGCCTAGCTGCACCATGCGAGATGATATTGGGCTGAGTTGACAAATTACTATTGGCACTGCGTCTAGTGTAATTAAAATTTGGTAAAATGAGCAGATGAGGAACTTATCGCTATCACTGAGGTTTTAACAGTTTACTACCAGCTGTCAAAGAACAGTTTTACAAATGACTAAAACATACAATCAAAAGCTGTAACTTGAAAAGATATGTTTATTTCAACTAAGGCTATTGAATCAAACAAGTTTGACATAATGATAGAGCTCTAAGCAAAACTAATTTATGTAGATCTACATTACCCAAACACTGATGCGAAAAATCCTTTAGACGATTTTAATTTTTTCTCCGCTTCTTCTACAAACTGTAAAGCCTTTTGCTCTTGGTCTGCCATTTTTATTTGAATCGTGTTTGAAATGACATGTAATTCTTAAAATATTGATGAGTTGGTCACCACCTTATTTACAAATCACGACACATGCGCTTTGATCACTTCCGTGTTTGAAAATATTTACTTTAAAATAAAACGCACCGTGAAAATAATCCGCTAAATTCTCTTGTTATTTCCGGTACCGTAACATAATGTTTTGTAACAAGTTACGTTGAAATATATCGATATCTTGAAAACAATGCCCGCTGATGGAGAATTCCGATTCGCTGACTTTTTTGTATGTTTTAATTTTCTTGTATATTTTACAATTTTAAGATGTTTATCATAGTGAAAAATATCATCAATAAAGTAGCATAGTAATCGGATATATACAAGTCCTTGAAAAATGACACATACTTTTCAACACATAGAGCATTTGACACCCTGTAAATGACTAATTTACCGGTTATCTAATAATGATCAACGTTAAGCATGTTGATTGGCCCCACCCCCTACTTATCCCAAATACTCTAAACTGCAATATGTTCAGTTTTAACCCAACGATTTAGGGCTTTTTATGATATAGACAATGGATGCTCTTTGCTAGCCCAACAAATTGTGCACTTTAGGGCCTTTTATTATATAGTTAATGGTTGCCCTTTGTCAATACAATAAAAAGCCCCTGAAGCACACATTTTAGATCAGTTTGTTTTCCCAATCTAATTGGCTGAGACATAAAGACAGACATCTACACTGTATGTTATATGAGATTATAAAATCAAAATATCAAAATATTGAGACTATTAAACAGGTAGGAAAGTTAACAACAGAAAGTAATATGTTATTATTGACATATCTGTGTATCCTTGATATTTGTCAACTGATATCGATATATCGTTGATATGCTTTGCACTGAATCAGTGACAGCTCTAAATCACATACATTTGTAAATGGTTATGTTGATGACAAGTATGATGATGATGATGATAAAGCGTAATCTTAAGGAGCCGAAATGACTGTATCCCTTGGTTGGCTGCTTTTGACAGGTTCATCTGTAGTCCTTAATGATAATTATACAGGTGTTTATAAGTTTAACATCCCTAAGCCTAAATCTCTCATTTTGAAGAATTTTCATGAAAAATTCTTGATGCACTTTATATCAATCAAATTTAATGAAATAAGAAATATGTAATCATAAGATCTTAACAACCTTTTAACAACTTGATTGTAAATTATAGCTTAAAAATTTAGATAATTGTTTCCTTAATAGTCAGATCATATCTCTATCATTCTCATTATGTTAGAAAATAATTATGAAAATAATAAAATCAAAATCAAAATATATAAATAAAAGAATAAGGGGGGGGGGAAGTGGAATGCCTTTATGTTTCAAATTAGGGGAAACAGTTTTACAGTTTTGGGAGAACCGTCGGGGGGGGGGGGTGGGGGGCAGGATATAGGTAAGAAGGAAAATAGTCTAGAATTGGTTTTAGACAGTGTTGGTTTCTGACAGTGTAGGCAAAGTGAATCAGTGAGAAAGTTCTAATCATTGTAAATATCAAAACATGTTATAGAGTGTAAAATACTAGTGGGTAAGCTGAACAATTCTTAATACATGATGATTAAAGTATTGGGTGTCAGTGCTTTTTTTCAGGGCCAAATTTTGACCCCATTCCCCTCCTCAAAAACTATAAATTTTGCTGAAAAAATTATATTTTAGAAATTAATTTATCAATACTGCAATAGTGAGACAGAGAAGTACATTGTTGTTTAAAAGAATATTGGTATTACAGGTATATCACTATTTTACATAAAATGGACTGTTTAATACATTTCTGAAATTTCCCCTTTTTCCCATCTGCAACTCAATTTTCTCTCTCCTTAGACCCTGCCACAGAGCCACCATTCCCCCAAAAAAGAACTGTTACAATGTAGGTACATGAACAGTTTTTTTCTTATTTAGAAGATATAGCTGAAATTTTTGTTCTTTGCCATTTTTGTAACAACTACTTTGTTGAATGTTTACTTTGATTGCATCTTAATAAGTTCACACAAATGATCATTTAGTTAAAGTACAATGTAAAATATTTGTACAGTCCCACTTTTCCTTAGGAAGACTGAGGGGAGGGGGTTAGGAGATCATGACCCTCCCTGTGATCATTTATATTCTGTAAGGGAAAATCACACAAAAACAAGTGCAATTCATCATGATTTTGACTCTTGGACCTTGGAAAGTAGTTTAAACATAATAATTATTAATCCTATGCAATATGCATTACCTCTTATCAAAATACTTCATTTTACATTTTACTCTGTCACAATAGCCTGTTTATCCAAACCTAATTTTGTACACGTCTTCAAATGCCTAAAGATACACTATGCATCTATCTAATATAAATACATTTTAATGTTTATAATATAAAGACAATTTTGTTCTTTTTTTAATTACAGAAGCAGATGTTTTTCAGAGAGCTGCATAAAGCTAATAAGAGTGAATGTGTACAGAATGGTGTAATCAATGGGCTCATGATGTTTATAGCAGGCTATACAGCTGGTTATGCCTATTATTGTAAGACATTTGAATTATAATTATGTATTATACTATTTAGAAAAATGAAAACAAAATTCAGGTAGATTTTGACATGATTTGGGTAGGTTATTAAAAAGTATAGATATATAGTGATTAAACATAAGCAAGTATATATGTATTACATCCCAGATCCATCAAATAGGATATTATGAAAGAAATATACCACAAAGACTACATACAATGTAGATTGTTTCATGAGAAGAATATATCCCTAACTTGTGCCTGCGCATGAGATGTCTTCTTGAAATACTGAAAAGCTTAATAGTAAAGTCACCATATTACCTATACTCTGACAATGTAACTTTAAACCCAACAAGAAAAGTAATATAAATGTACCACCATTTCTTGTTCATCTGTGAATTATGGTTACTTATTCTCATAACAAATTTAGGTGTTTTAGGGACATATGTTTCATTTTTACAGCTTCTGATTTTTAGTTGAGGCAAATGATTAAATCATACTTTATCATGGATTCCTTAAATAGAAGATAATGAATTTAAATATGCAGAAAGTGAAGGAATATTGATTGATAGTAAAAGATTATTGGGTCATTGACTGGAACTCTGAGAGTGATTGATATTTAAGGAATAAAATATCATGTTGATAGTGGAGTATAGTTAAGGAGTATAAAAGTGTTAACAGTGCAGAATGGATATTTGTAGAAAGTGATTGAATATTGATAGATAATGAAGAGGTATTTGTAGAAGTGATTGAATATTGATAAATAATGAAGAGTGATTTGTAGATAGTGATTGAATATTGATGAATAAAGAGAAGAGGTTTTTGTAGCTAGTGATTGAATATTGATGAATAGTGAAGAGGGTTTTGTTGATAGCGATTTAATATTGATGAATAGTGAAGAGGTATTTGTAGATAGTGATTGAATATTGTAAAAAGTGAAGAGGTTTTTGTAGATAGTGATTGAATATTGTTGAATAGTGAAGAGGCTTTTGTAGATAGTGATTTAATATTGATGAATAGTGAAGTGATATTTGTAAAAAGGGATTGAATATTGATAGATAGTGGAGAGAAATTTTTAGAAAGTGATTGAAATTTGATTGAAAGTAAAGAAATATTTGTAGATAGTGATTGGATATTGATGAAAAGTGGAGAGGTATTTGTAGATAGTGATTGAATATTGATAAATAATGAAAAGGTATTTGTATATTAATGAATAGTGAAGAGGTATTTGTAGAAAGGGATTGAATATTGACAAATAGTGAAGCGGTATTTGTAGATGGTGATTGAATATTGATGAATAGTGAAGAGGTATTTGTAGATAGTGAGTGAATATTGATAAATAGTGAAAAGGTATTTGTATATTAATGAATAGTGAAGAGGTATTTGTAGATGGTGATTGAATATTGATGAATAGTGAAGAGGTATTTGTAGATAGTGAGTGAATATTGATAAATAGTGAAAAGGTATTTGTAGATAGTGAGTGAATATTGATAAATAGTGAAAAGGTATTTGTAGAAAAGGATTGAATATTAATGAATAATGATGAGGTATTTGTAGAGAAGGATTAAATATTGATGAATAGTGAAGAGGTATTTGTAGAAAGGTATTGAATATTGATGTATAAAGAAGAGGTATTTGTATATAGTGATTGGATATTGATGAATAGTGGAGAGGTATTTGTAGAAAGTGATTGAATATTGATGAACAGTGAAGAGGTATTTGTAGATGATGAGTGACTATTGATAAATAGTGAAAAGGTATTTGTAGATTGTTATTGAATATTGATGAATAGTGAAGAGGTATTTGTAGAAATGTATTGGATATTGATGAATAGTGAAGAGGTATTTGTAGATAGTGAGTGAATATTGATAAATATTGAAAAGGTATTTGTAGAAAGGGATTGAATATTGACGAATAGTGAAGAGGTATTTGTAGATAGTGATTGAATATTGATGAATAGTGAAGAGGTATTTGTAGATAGTGAGTGAATATTGATAAATAGTGAAAAGGTATTTGTAGAAGAGGATTGAATATTAATGAATAGTGATGAGGTATTTGTATATTGATGAATAGTGAAGAGGTATTTGTAGATAGTGATTGGATATTGATGAATAGTGAAGATGTATTTGTAGATAGTGATTGAATATTGATGAATAGTAAAGATGTATATATAGAAAGTGAGTGAATATTGATAAATAGTGAAGAGGTATTTGTAGATAGTGATTTTAAATTGATAAATAGTGAAGAGGTATTTGTAGAAAGTTAACTTAAAAAAATGTTCAAAGAATTTAATTCCAAGCAGAACTCTGGTTGCCATGGCAACCGAATGAAAAAAACTTAAAATATCTTCTTTTAGTTAACCGAAAGAGCTAGAGCTTAAATATTTGGCATGAAACATAATCTAGTCAGTGTCTACCAAGTTTATTCAAATAAATGCCACGGGGGGTCATTGATTTTCCTTATTTGTATATAGTAAAAACAAAATAGCTAGAGCTTAGATATAAAGCATTAACAACATTTTCTAGTGGTTGTCTACCAAGTTTGTTCAAATAAAAGCCCTTGGGTGAAAATTGGCCTTGCCCCAGGGGGTCATTGTTTTTCCCTATATGTATATAGTAAAAACTTAAAAATCTTCTTTTAAAAACCCCAAAGAGCTAGAGCTAAGATATTTAGCATGAAACATCTTCTAATGGGTGTCTACCAAGTTTGTTCAAAGAAGGGCCCTTGGGTTAAAATTGGCCCTGCCCCAGGGGTCTTTGATTTTCCTTAAAAAAATATGTGTATAGTAAAAACTTAAAAAATCTTCTTATAGAAAACATAAAGAGCTAGAGTTTAGATACTAAGCATGAAATATCTTCTAGTGAGTGTCTACCTAGAATCTGAAATTTGTTCAAATAAACACCCTGGGGTCAAAACTGGCTCCCCAGGGTGGGGGGGGGGGCTTATTGTTTTCCCCCTTTATGTATATAGTAAAAATTCAAAAAATCTTCTTATAAAAACCTCAAAAAATCTTCTTATAAAAACCCCAAAGAGCTAGAGCTTAGATGTTTATCATGAAACATCTTCTAATGGGTGTCTACCAAGTTCGTTCAAATAAAAGCCCCAGGTTTAAAATTGGCCTGAGCCAAGGGGCCTATATACAGATGAGTGATTTCAGGGCCATCATGGCCCTCTTGTTTGTAGATAGTGGTTGAATACTAGACTGGTTGAATACTAAATGTAGAATCAATATACATGTACATGACATTGTAATGGTGTTATATGGGTAGAGTATGTCTAAAAGATAGTAAAATCATATAGGTTGATAATAATTGAATTTGTTTTTAATTTAAAAATTAATTTGTCTATTGCATTATCTACAGTAGTTAATTTAAATAAGAATATGAAAATTTTATTCACCATTTGTTATTGTTTATATTGACAGCTCTTGTTTGTATTTCAGACAGCCCTAAAAAAGCAGTTTATGTGTTTGGTTTACCAGCTTTTGCATTTACAGCTGTTGCAACTGTGTAAGTACATTTATATCAATCCATGAACAATTGGTTTATTCCTAGGCAGCACAATATGGGATGGCTAAATAGTTTGATTCTGACATTAATTTTGAATTTTATGTTGAGAAAGCTAGCCATCAAGTTTACTAAACGTTTTAGTTCTACATTCTTTGCCAGCATTTGTGTGAGGGGAGTAAAGGGCTTTCATTATCAGTTATACTAGAAAATTGTCTGATGTCTTTGTTTGTTTTGGCAATGGTATGACTTAATACCCAGTACCAAAAAGGACTGAAATAAAACTTAGCATTTGATTTTAGTATTTTTTAACAAAATAAACCATTTTTTAGTTAGATAGATACTGTAAGCACTGGCTCAGTATGTAACATGCACTATTTCAGACGGAAATAATTTTAATTTTAACTTTGTGATGTCAGTTTAAGATTTAGATTTCATATCTGCTTTTGTTTATAGTTTACAATATTACTTGTTCCGAGTTTGTATATACAGGTGAGCGATTTCAGGACCATCATGGCCCTCTTGTTTATATTCATTTTTGACAATGGGTTCTCAAGTTTTATGTAGTTTAAAAATTTGGCTTTACCATAATTATACTAGATGTCCAGTAATTAGTATAATATATTGCAATATAATACTATTACAATGTATTATAATTCTGTTTGTGATAACTATGGTAGTGAAATTTTCCATTCCTTTTTATTTCAGAATAATATGTGACACAAATAATGCAGTTGAGAAACCTTCACAACAACAACATCAACAACAACTGCAACAACAAATAAAATGATCATGCATTAATCTTTGAGCTTATTTATTATATGTATTTGTTTACTATTGTCAGTATTTTGAAAATTTTTATAAATGAAATAAAAGATCGATTGTCTATTCCTTTGTCTTTCCTCTTGCATACTTCAGATTGGTCCTCGTCCTCAAGATTTCTGTTGACAAGGTTTATTACTCTTAGCTCTGGCATTGTTTTTGATGAACTTTCAAATTCATGCCAAAATGTTGAGTATGTTTTAGCTCACCTGAGCACAGAGGTGATCTTTTGTGATGGCAGTGTGTTTGTCGTTCCATCAATCAACGTAAAAGATTTCTTTAAACAACATCTCCAAAACACTTGATGAATTTTGAACAAATTTTACTGGATATCTCTACAAAAGTTACATAAATGGATACAGTCTTATGCATAAATGTTATCCAGCTAGCATACGCCGCATCGATGGTCCTACTTGGGTGCGCGTTTGTGCCTGAAATAATGCACAGAATTTAGGCACCTGAGGTTTTCCTCCACCAGTAAAGCTTAAATGTCGCCATATTACCTATACTGTGTCGGTGTGATGTAAAAACCCAATCAAACAAATACACAGGTCACGGGAGCTAAAATAGATTTTAAGATAATTTTTAATCTACAATACCCATAGTTTAAATATTTTCCATGTGGCAGCACTTTTTGGTCCTGTATATTTTTTGTATAAACCATGCCATATACCCGATACGTCTTTTTTGTGAAACTACAATTCCATGAGCTCGGATATTAATTTTGGCACATAACGTTTCCCAGTAGAAATCCTATAAAGTTATAAAAGTCGTGCCCTTGAGGTAAAAATGACTATGTCCTTAAAAGTGGGGTATTTAGTTTACATAAACTTTGGATTGTAATGTAGAATCTTGGACCTTGTTGTCCTCTTCAACAGTTATATAAATCATGCCTCTGTGCTCAAACATGACCCTGTCCCAGCGGTCACTTAATTGTCCCCCGCCTTTTCGAAGAAAAAAGGGGGATATAGAAATAGTCTCCGTCTGTCCATCCGTCACACTTTCGTGTCCGGTCCATAACTTTGTCATTTATCAAAGGAATTTGATATAACTTGGCACAAATGTTTATTATAATAAGACGATGTGTCATGCTCAACAACCAGACCCCTACCTCCAGGGTTAAGGTCGCACTTGCTCATTCAAGGTCAACATTGTCTATTTGAGGGTATATGTTGTGTCCGGTCCATAACTTTCTTATCTATGAAGGGATTTTGTAAATACTTGCCATAATTGTTCACAATAATGAGACGATCTCTCATGCAAAAAAACCGGTCACCTATCTCCAAGGTCAAGGTCACACTTGGAGGTCAAATACTTGCATAGTCTGTTACAGGGTATATTTTGTGTCCGGTCCATAACTTTTTCATAGATTCAAAGGATTTTGAAACATACTTCGCACAAATAGTCACTATAATAAGAGGATGCTGTCATGCGCAACACCTATCCCTACCTCCCAAGGTCAAGGTCACACTTGGGGGCGTCCGTGCACCGTGTGGTTAAGGTCGTTTGGACTTCAAACAACTTGCCCCTCACCGCTGTGGGGTTCGAATCCCAAGACAGGGAACTTTGGATTCTTTTAATGTGAGGAAGCTATCCAGCCTAGCTAACGGAACGTCGGTGGTTCTAACTCAGGTACCCGTTCTGTGCCCTGAAAATAATGCACGGAAGGGCACCTTGAGGTCTTCCTCCACCAGTAAAGCTGGAACGTCGCGATATGACCTATACTGTGTCGATGTGACGTAAAACCCAAAACAAACAAACAAACAAGGTCACACTTAGAGGTAAAAATAAAACATAGTCTGTTATAGGGTATATTTTTTGTCGGATCTAGAACTTGTTCATAGTTCAAGGGATTTTGAAATAACTTGGCACAAATAGTCACAATAATAAGACGATATGTCAAGTACAACATCTGCACCCCTACCTCAAAGGTCAAGGTCACACTTAGAGGTCAAAGGTTAACAGAGTCTGTTATATGGTATATTTTGTGTCACGTCCATTACTTCTTCATAGATTAAGGGATTTTGAAAATACTTGGCACAAATAGTCACAATGATTAGATGATATGACATGCATAACATTTGTGACCTACCTCCAAGGTCAAGGTCACACTTAGAGGTCAAAGATTTACATAGTCTGTTATAGGGTATATTTTGTGTCCAATCTATAACTTATTCATAGTTCAAGGGATTTTGAAAATACTTTGCACAAATAGTCTCAATAATAAGACGTTATGTCATGCACAACACCTGCTCCCCTACCTCCAAGGTCAAGGTCACACTTAGAGGTCAAAGGTTAACATGATAGATTTTTAAATTCCGTGTTTCATTTTAATTTTTTTAACAAATTTATTGTTACATTTGCAGATCTAGCATTGATCATAATTTTGGACTGAATGTCCTGAGATCCATTCCTCAATTTTTTGAAATAGCACAATTTTTTGCTTCATATAAAACTTCCCGAGGCGGGGGTTGTGGTAACTCTGTTACAAATTCTTGTTTATATAGACTTGTCATAGAAAACACAAGATTGTCTTCATTTTTGAAGTAGATCTATACAACAGTCATGCCCCTGAGGTCAAAAATAGTAATGTCCTGAGTGCACATAGTTTTAATTCACTTAAAAAAAAGTTTTAAAATAATTTTCTCCTTGTGCACAAAGTTAAAATATTTTCATGGGAAAATAACCTTTGGCTCTCTAAAAAGAAGTTTAACCATGCCCTTGTTTTCAAAAATGGATTAACCCCAGAGGGGCACTTTGTAAGGGAGGGAAAACAGAAATTTTAAAATATATTAGTATCTAGTGTGAAATTACAATGCCAAGAATTTAGATTTAAGTCATGAAGCAATTTGCAGTTGGCATCTACAAAAGTTATTCAGCCTTGGGGTAAAAATATGAAAAACCTAATGCCACCTTATTTTTGACTATCACTGAAATATAAGAATTGTAATCCTGGTTCATCATCGCCCTCTTGTATAGACTTGTTTATAGAAGCAATAAGATTATTGTTTTATAAGAAAACATGATGTTGATAGACTTCTAAGTGAAAGTGAAGTGAAGGGTACAGTTTAATATAGATTACCTAAAGACTGTTATAAATCGTGTCTTTATAAGATTCATTTACATGGTATGTTCTTTTTGTATTAATTGGTAAAAAAATAAATTGAAAATTAACACCACTTTTATATATTTGTTTTATACATGAAGTGATCTGGGACATGGAGGTATGTTATGCCTGGACATTGTAACAATAAAGTTATGTTATCGGAAAACATAAATATTAAAATAACTATTTAGAACATCAAACATTGTTTCATGCGAACGGTTAACTTAATAAATACATTAAAGTATTAACAAGTTAAACATTTGATGCGATCTAACCTGTCTTATGTATAATAATGCATAAAAGAATTGAATACAATCACAGGCACATCGAGACGTCTTCATTGGTTATGTGTAGGTTATATCTGCCCACTCAACGGGGAAAAAGTCATCAATCAACAATACATTCATTAATCAATCTTGTCTTTAAAAAGCAGTCTTGAATCGTTTTTGAGTATCTTGGTGGTATTAGACTGACCGTTGAAAGTTATGATTAGTCCCTGATTGTTACAAGCGATGTATTGAATGGCAATATTGACTACAGTCTATACTGGCAATTATCTCAAAATTACTGCATTTTAAGGCATTTACTAGTCAGCAATACAGTGCGTTATTTGTAGATTTATTATTTAAGGTGTGAACCGATAAGTATTTCAAATAGCTTAAAATATACATTGTAGAGCAAATATATAAATATAAATATTATAAATATAAAGTGAAAATGCCAAGGAAAGAAAAGTTTTAACAACCTTGAATGGGTAAAAGTAAGAGATATCTGAGAACATGTAGAAACGAGTCTTTCAGAATGTGCACCTAGAAAAATATCTCACTGCAAAAAACAAAGGGCTTTATAAAAAATCTTATAGATTGGGTTTTTACCAAACTGTTGGATGATGTAATATTGGGTTTTTTTTATGTAACCCCCTTTTAAAAATGAAAAAGTAAACTAACTTAACTCTTAAAATATTTTATAATTATTTTTTAAAAGTTAATTTTCGTATTTCAAAAATATAATTTAAAAAATAGTCACTGGGTGTTTCCGGAAAACATGTTGCCAAAATTATTTGGGGCTATCTGGAATTCAAAAAAAGTCATTGTCCCACAGAAGAAAAGAGAATCAGCGAGAGTTTGAGAAGAAAGAAATAAATTTTAAATAAATAATTTTAAGGAACACAAAAATTGTTGAAAATCTTGGGCAAAAGGGAAAATGCACCTAATTTCTTATTCAAACGCATTGTTCATGTGGAAAGTTTGAGTTCTGCTGAAGCCGGTGCTAGGAGCTTTGCAATCTCCCACGCAGTGATCTCCCTCTTTTCAAATTTTGTGGTGTAAACCCGGGGCGCGGAGTTGGGGGCTTTAAAATACCACCCTTTATCAAAGAAAGATTTCAGTAAATTAAAATGGGAAACCTTTCATTTGTTTTTCCAAATTTTAACGAATGGATTCCATATTTATTTAAAGAAATGAAATATGTAGCAGCCGTAGAATCATTTCTGTCCGTCTGTTTGTGGCTAAGTGGTTAAGATCTTTGACTTCAAACAACTTGTCTTTCACCGCTTTGGCTTCGAATCCCGCAAGGGACTTTGGATTGTGAGGAAAATATCCAGCTAGCTTACGGAACGTCAGTGGTTCTACTAGGATGCCCGCTCGTGCACGGAGTGGCACCTGTTGTAGTCTTCCACCAATTTAGCTGGGAAGTCGCCACATGGCATTTACTGTGTTGGTGCGACAAGCAAGTATATTCCTAACACATATATGGTATCGTAATTCTATTATTTGTTCAATAATATATATCATATTTTAAGTCATATTTGAAAGGACGCATACTTTAATTTAAATTAAGCATGCTCGGAATTCTTCCAGTCTAATGTGACTTAGATGTTACTCACTTTTTTTTTGTAAAGTGTTGCAATAGCTTCAACAAACTAAACTACATTTTTAACATATTTCTGTTTAGTTAACAAAATTTGTCAAATTCACAGCAAAACCTTTAGATGGAAATAACCAACAAAAACATTAACATCAATTTTTTATAATATTCGAAGGCTTGACAAGTACATACCATTGAAAATACTATTTCATACTTTTTGACATTGGCTTAATATTCTAGGAAAAGTTTAGTGAAGTATAATTTTATAATTAAAAAATGTATGAAAAGATAAAAACGATGTCAAATGAATGACTTTACAGTCATTAATAATAAACTTCGTTACATACTTCATAAATTTTATAAATTTACATGTACGTTGGTATATGTATGCTTACCATGATTGCTATATTTCATCAGCACAAAAAAAGAATATACTAGTATATATACAATGAGAAATGATAAAGATTACAGAAATTGATGTTTATTATAGCGTTGTTATTGTGACAATATATACTGAATATCTTACATTATATTAAAATTTGTTATCTATGTCTTACAAGGCGAAAAAGCAACGGCACTAGTTTTTTCTTTTTGTCCGTACAACTGGCGCTTCCATCCTGATGACCACTTGTCTTGTCCGTCGTGTTTCTGGCAGGGTCAGTTTTTGGAGAGTCAGTCACATCTATAAAAAATTACTGTACATGCTTATTGTGAATCGATAGAAAATTAACAAAATGGACCGTACAACAGACACTGCATAACGCTTGTTATCATTGTTTAACAAGAAGATTAAATGATACAAGACTGGCTTAGATGTGACACGACGTTCAGCAAACACCTTACTTTTGTATCGAAGTCTTGTGCAACGATACAATGATGTTGGGGAACAGGACACATGCCTATTGAAGATTGATGAACCTGCGTGCCTTGACCAAAAACACTGATAGGGCCTACTTCAGCTTATTGAACAAATTGAACATATATAGATAATGCTTAAATTAAAAATGTCTTTTAAAGCACAATGAAACTATGATACGACCACTTAAACAGTATATTCACTGGTGTTTTGTTTCATATCCTTCGCAGAACTTATTGTGCAAATGAACGTTTCCTTGCCGAATGTAGAAATTATTGGGCGGACATTAATTTGTAAATAAACTTTCCCAGAACAGATGTCACACTACTACTTCTGAATGTAATGAATGACTTCGAATGGTCATTTTTCACTCAGTGGAATTTTGCATTTATCTGATTTCACAAAGATACACTGAATGTGGATAATGTTTGCAATTTCGTTTTCGATGTAAGAAAATTTACATTAAACGTGCCACAAGAGTACCGTATTATGGTAATTTGTGGTAATTAAACTTTTTAAGTATCATGTACAGATAAAGAATTTTGATATGTGACATAGATGTAATATTTGAATATTTACCTTTTGTAATATATACAGGAGGAGCATAACTTGGTTCTACAGTATCTCCTAAAACAACAACAAAAATCAACCACAATTGTTTACTGATAGAAGACTGTACACAAGAATACGATTTTTTTATTATGCATACTACACAGAAGTATTGTATTGTATTGCAATGAAACTATGATACGACAACATAAACATTATATTCACTGCGATTTTTAATTTTCTTTGTAAATGAACGTGTCCTTGCTGTATGTAGAAATTATTGGTTGTAAATAAACTTCTCAGAACAGATACAAGGGGGTCATACCATACGCGCGCATCCTCAAAATTCTGATACCGCGAACACTTTTTCAACCTGTATTTTGAACAAACACGAGCCATGTAAAGCAATCAGAATATATTTGAATTTAATATCTTTTGTAAGATGTCCTTACTTCTAGTTGTAATATTCCAAATGGCTTGACACAGGTCTTTCCTTTCTTGTCAGTATTTTGCGTTGAATGCAATTTTGATTCTGGATACTGCGTACACCCGGCGTTGAAATGTTACAGAGATTGAGAAATTGTCGATTAAACTGAAAGTTTCACACGACTGGAAGTAAGTTTATTTTAGAATCTATTTCACAAATACATTTTTGATCTTTTCCTTTGTATGAAAAATGTCTTAAAACGAACTATTTACAGGAAACAGACATTATGATACTGCGTTCACTCTCAAAATGTTAGGATACTGCGTACACATTTATATGTTTTTGAATCTGTCTACACTTTCTTCGCAGCAGTCTTAGTTCATAATGGGATCAAATTGAGAACACTGGCGAACAAAATGTCTCTAATTCTTCTCCAGCCAACATGAAGGACGATCGACATCGTTAAGATGGTCCTTACAAATGTGACCTTTGAATAGGAATGTGTGTATTTTTTCTTTTCTGGGTATTGACATGTATGAAATGTCACAACTCTGGACGCAAGTTTGATATCCATTATGGAAAATGAAAATAGAAAGAGAAATAGTGCCCATAAATTTTGTATTCACGATCTCTTAATTAGGAGTTCAGTGCTTTCATATGCACTAGCTAACCTTCGTACACCTATTATATATCAAAATAAACTGTTCTAAACTAATGTTTAATCTTTCACATAACATCAAGTCATTTATGAAGTTGTTGAATACCGATATTAAATATTCTTTTTTATAACTTTTGCCCTACTTAGAATGCGTATGCACGAAATGCAAAATCAGAAAATTCGTATCGTAAACGGCCTTAATGCTCTTAGGCAAACAAGTTAATAAAACTCGTATGATTAGAACCTTGTATAAAGTAAAGTGAGAAAATAAATTTCAGGGTGGTTAAACAAGGAAATATATCTTGATTTTTAGTGGACTATGCTATAATATAAAACAGTATGGAGTTAAGATGTGCAGTAATATAATCACAAAGGCCGTAGGCCTACGGACATTTGAACGATATATCGTGCTATATGTATAACAGAGATTTTTTTCCATTCTAACACGTCAAGAAAAACTATAGTTGGACTATATTGTTTTCGCCTCAGTGTTTCTAAAATTAACGTTCTTTAAAGGCTTTTCAATCGGTTGATGCTCTCATTCAATATACTCTGTTTATCACATACCCATACTGCTTTTGCGTCTCCGTAAAACATGGTATTGCACGGCCGTGAATATATTTTGACGTCATGTCATATGCGTTTAATGAACACGGCCGTGCAATATCATTTTTACGGAGAGACGCAAAAGCGACACACATGCAAATTTAATACGGAATTTCTTTAACGACTAGAATAAAATTATATTATGCGAGGCTCTGGCGAGCACAATATTTTTATATTCAACGAGTATAATAAACTTAGTATTAAACTTACACGACTTTAATATTCTATTTATCATATACCAAAAATAGATCGACATGAAAAAGAACCATTCTTCATGAACGCGCCTATAGTATAATTAAGGTAAACCACCCCTAATGCATTAACTCCACTTTGAAGCGTTTTCAAATACACTAAAATAACTGTCAACTGTATTGAAACTGACGGGGGTTGGTTCAAATCCCATTCGGGGCAACTTTTCTTCTTTCTTTTTTATTTTTAACAGTACTTATGTATCTCTTAGATTCCATTTGGGTAGAAAAAAAGTGTTTGATTTTAATTTTTGTAGGTATTTATTTGCTAAATAATGCCAAATTTAATAGCAAATAGTATATCAGATATTTTTAAAGTTTAATAACATAAAAACTACACGGTAAATGTATTTTATATTTTGCAAGATCAACCAATATACTTTAAAAAGAATATAGGCAAATTTTGAAAACAGCCCCTCCTTGTGGTAAATTTTAGGGATACTTTGAATTCTGCTTTTTACATAGTGAAATGGCCAAATAAATGCTAAAGGTGGGTAGGGTAGGATAACATTTTTATACATATTTAAAACATTTGTTTAGAAACAATCAGTTTGCTCGTGTAATTTGTTACCTGAATGTAATTATTTGTTTCTTAACAATGAGCAATAGGAAAACATTTGTCATAATGATGATATTATATATTTCAATGTATTAAGTTTCCTCATTTCTGAAAAAGATCCCTTCTAATAGCAAAGTTTTAGTTCAGAAAAATATCCATAAGTTGTAAACCACACGGTATATTATGTTTAAGTTTTCTTGACGTGTTAGAATGGAAAAAACATATTGCTTTTGTTTGCTCTGTGTTATACATACATGTATAGCACTATATGATGTTGGCCTACGGCCTTTGTGATTATATTACTGCACATCTACATTTTAAGGGATCATACTTTATCACAGAATTTGATTTTTTTATTTTAATTATCCTTTTATTACTTTTTGCCCGCCAGTGTCATCGTTTGATCCCATTATGAACTGAGAGTGCTTTGAAGAAAGTGTACATAAATCTGTACGCAGTATCTTGATTTTTTTTGAAAGTGTACGCAGTATCATAATGTCTATTTTGTGTAAAAAGAAACAGGTTCTATAATAAACTAACTTACAGCTGTGTGAAACTTTCTGTTAAAACGACAATTTCTCATTTTCTGTAACATTTCAACGCCGGGTGTACGCAGTATCCAGAATCAAAATCGCATTCAGCGCGAAATACTGCCAAAAAAGGAAGACCTGTGTCAAGTCATTTGGAATATTAAAACTAGAAGTAAGGACATCTTCTTTGCAAAAGAAATTAAATTCAAATCTATTCTTATTGCTTGACATGAATCGTGTTTGTTCAAAATACCGGTTGAAATATTCGCGGTATCAGAATTTTAAGGATGCGCGCGCATGGTATGAACCCCTTGATATGTCACATTACTACTTTTGAGTGTAATGAATGACTTTGAATGATCATTTTTCACTCAATGGAGTTTGCGTTTATTTGATTTCACAGAGATAGTTTAAAATGGAATATGGATAATGTAAGCAATTTCGTTTTCGATGTAAGAAAATTTACATTAAACGTGCCACTAGTATACCGTATTGAGGTAATTTGTGGTAATTAAACTTTTAAAGTATTATGTACAGATAAAGAATTTTGATATGTGACATAGATATTCACCTTTTGTAATATATACAGGAGATTCAACTATTTGTTGTCCGTTTGGCGCAGCCTCTTCTAAAAACAACAACAAAAAATAACCACAATTGTTTCCTAACAGAAAACGATTTTTTTATTATGCATAATACAAAGAAGCATTGTATTTTGCCATGTACAAGAATAAAAATAGAAACGAAAGCTGTAAACACTGTTGTTCCTTTAACTAAAAATGTGTCAAAAATGGTAAAACAAAGTTTCATAAATGTCACAGAAGTAAATTATTTTGCAGAATGCAGATGACAAATCTATTGTACTTGCCATTTGCTCTATTTCATAACTTAGTATATTAAAATGAATCAGTTCACAATTTCCAAAATGATTCAAGATTAGCGTATGATACGTTAAATGTGTCACTATTTTTGGGAATAAAATACACCTGTCTTAAATTTATTTTTTGTACATAACGACATTTACTAGGTGAAATTACAGATCTAACAAAATTTAGGCAATTGTTTGTGGTTATATAGAATCACATTTAATTAAAATAAGTTTTTCATTTCTAAATCAAATATGATTATATGCTGTGATGTGTAAATGCGTTGTTAAATAATTAAGAGACTGATATAACTTTGAAGAAAAAAACTTATTTAAAACTTTAAAATTGAATATGGATAATGTTAGCAAATTCGTTTTCAACGTAAGAAAATTTACATTAAACGTGCCACTAATATACCGTATTGTGGTAATTTGTGGTAATTAAACTTTTAAAGTATTATGTACAGATAAGAATTTTGATATGTGACATTGATGTAATATTTGAATATTCACCTTTTGTAATATATACAGCAGACTCATTTAATGGTTGTCCGTTTTGCGCAGCCTTTCCTAAAACAACAACAAAAAATAACCACAATTGTTTACTGAAAGAAGACTGTACTCAAGTATAAGATTTTTTTATTATGCATAATACAAAGAAGCATTGTATTTTGCCATGTACAAGAATAGAAAAAGAAACAAAAGCTGTAAACATTGTTGCCCATTTACTTAGTAATTACATATGTGTCAAAATTGATTAAACAAAGTTTCATAAATGTCCCAGAAGTAAATTTATTTTGCAGAATGCAGGCGACAAATCTATTGTACTTGCCATTTGCTCTATTTCATAACTTAGTATATTAAAATGAATCAGTTCACAATTTCCAAAATGATTCAAGATTAGCGTATGATACGTTAAATGTGTCACTATTTTTGGGAATAAAATACACCGGTCTTAAATTTGTATTTTGTACATAACGACATTTACTAGATGAAAATACAGATCTAACAAAATTTAGGAAATTGTTTGTGGTTATATAGAATCACATTTAATTAAAATAAGTTTTTCATTTCTATATCAAATATGATTATATGCTGTGATGTGTAAATGCATTGTTAAATAATTAAGAGACTGATATATAACTTTGAAGAAGAAAAAAAACTCATTAAAAACTTTAAAATTGAATATGGATAATGTTAGCAAATTCGTTTTCGACGTAAGAAAAAAAAACATTAAACGTGCCACTAGTATACCGTATTGTGGTAATTTGTGGTAATTAAACTTTTAAAGTATTATGTACAGATAAAGAACTTTGATATGTGAAATAGATGTAATATTTAAATATTCACCTTTTAAAATATATACAGCAGAATCATACTTTGGCGCAGCCTCTCCTAAAACAACAACAAAAAATAACCACAATTGTTTACTGATAAGATTTTTTTATTATGCATAATACAAAGAAGCATTGTATTGGCCATGTACAAGAATAGAAAAGGAAACAAAAGCTGTAAACATTCTTGTCCATTTACTTAGTTATTACATATGCATCAAAATTGATTAAACAAAGTTTCATAAATGTCCCAGAAGTAAATTATACAATGCAGGTGATAAATCTATTGTACTTGCCATTTGCTCTATTTCATAACTTAGTATATTAAAATGAATCAGTTCACAATTTCCAAAATGATTCAAGATTAGCGTATGGTACGTTAAATGTGTCACTATTTTTGGAAATAAAATACACCGGTCATAAATTTATTTTTTTGTACATAACGACATTTAAAAGATGAAAATACAGATCTAACAAAAATTAGAAAACTGTTTGTGGTAATACAGTCTCACATTTAATTAAAATAAAAATTTTATTTCTCTATCAAATATGTTTATATGCTGTGATGTGTAGATGCGTAGTTAAATAATTAAGAGACTGATATATATATATAACTTTGAAGAAGAAGAAAAAAAGAATTAACGTTAAATATGCGCAAACCATATGCGCAGAAATCGTCTTCTATTACTAAAAAATACCAATATATCAAAAAATTAGATTTGAAGTTGATTAAGAATAATATATTTATCGTATCAGAAATAAATAATTGTTTCCATTTCTCTTTTAAATGTCGTTTTAATGCGTTTAACAACAAAAGCATCTCATCAGAATGACATACATGTACATTAGGTTAAAGACCTTGTTATAAACCTCTTTCTTTAATATATATTTATACCAAGATGCAATATAAGACATAATACTTAAATCGACTTTTCTGAGTATATGAAGTATAAAAAAATAATATAAATATCTTAATGTATAATACGAACTTAGTTTAACTTTATCTTTTCAAAAATTTGAATAATTTACATTGCAAGACTTAGAAATGAGCATCAAATAAATACTTACCAGTAGGTAAGCAGATAATTGCCACAAATACAAGCATTGACGCAGTCAGCAAAAACTTTTTATCCATTTCTCTGTTTAGAACAGTATGTAACAAAATGCAACTTTGAAGACGCCGTCTTATATATAGCAATGCATGCTATATATAGATTTCTTGTGTTGAGATTGTATTGGTGGATATACATAATTATATCTAACTTTTCGTTCGGGTTGTACACGTTGTTTATAATAACAACGGGTCAGTACTTCTCTAGATCTAGGCCGACTATTAGGTAAATGCTACACAGATCAAGTTGTATTTGAACGAATTATATTTTAAAATGTACAGCATGTAAAAACTGATTGAAATTGTTTAGTTTTTTTTTATGTTCTTTTAAAGCAATTGAAGTGATTTTTTTTCTACAATCTGTTAAAGTATTATTAAATTTAAACAAATGTAGCAAATATATACCTCATCTATAGATGTAACCAAAATAACATTCTGTATGTTTTAACACTTAAAACTGGCTAATATGACAAAACTATTTTCATGCTATAGATCTTGTTATCAAACTAAATTTATCATTGTAACACAAACGGTGATTGTTTCCGATACACGCTCAATTTTAGCGGTATACCGGGTTTTCTTCTTTTTTGCAAGTTTGTAAAGTGTTGATCTGTTTTGCATAACACCTACATGTTATAAACTTTTTAGAGTGAAACTTGGTTTTCAGCAGTATGAATAATGAATATCAAAGGTCAACTTTGACCAATGCTAACACTGGCCACCACCGTGAGATAAGGGATACCGCAATATTAGAAATGTTCACTCATTATTGATTTTGTGATACCTTTTTGTTGTGAGGGGCAATTTCAGTTTCTTTGTAAACAGACAAACAAACAATTTTTATGGTAAACTGGAACTCTATGTTACGGTACCACAAAGTACTACAATTCATCATTAACTCAACCTTGGTTTATCAGTATGTACATATGAAAATAAAAACAACAACTTTTATTTCTAAATATACCTGATTAAATTATCAATTAATAGTCAGTACAGATATAATGCCCATCTAAAATTTAGAAAATGCCGTGTGTACCGTGTTCTGTCATTTCTTCGTTTGTTGCTATAATAAAAATAGAAACATCCGGGTTAATGTTGGCAAAATATGATATGTAAATTAAAGCGGTAATCATTTGCAAATTTCCATAATTATACTTGCATTATACATCGGAGATGGAAACACAGCTTGTTGAAGCAACGGAAGATGTAACCGTTGATAGTGACGAAAAATGTAAGGAAATTGGCGATGAAAATGAAACGCCTACTTTCGATTTCACCGAAAAAACATGGAAAGACGATTTTGTTCTTATTGTTGAAAATAAACGATTACATGTTGCAAAAGCTATATTAGCGTACGCATCTCCTGTGTTCGATACGATGTTTCAAGCAGAATTTAAGGAGAAAGGCGCATCTGAGCTTGAACTTCCTGGTAAAAAAGTTGAAGATTTACAGCAATTTCTGCGATGCATTTATCCACTTCAGGCCGAAATTAGTTTTGAAAACGTTAATGCCGTACTTCCTTTAGCTGACGAATACCAGGTATCGAATCTTAAGTCGAAGTGCGAGGCGTTTCTACTAAGGCAAGTCAATGGAACCATATCATCTGATGAACTTTACAGAGTATTAGAGCAGGCTAGCCTTTACAATATGACATCTCTATTGCAAAACTGCGTTGATGTTGCATCAGGTAGGAAAGTAGAATCATTCCACAGAGCAGAAAAAATCCTGAAAATCAAACCGGAAGTGAAATGTATGATCCTTGATAGAATGGTTTCTCGTCTTCAACCAAAGAATTTTCTTGAAGTTTTGAAAAGATACTATGAATCTTACCTTGAACCAAAATATATACCTGAAATTAAAGATTATAAGGATTGGGATGGAAACTTGCTGAAGATAACGTTTTATATCAATAAATGGAAGTCATTCAAAGTATGCATGCATGGTATTGAAGCTAATTGTGTCATGTGTATTGTAGACACGAGCTTTGAATCCAGCATCTTCAAGGTAAAACGCAGTACTACAGGAGCTGAAGTTCAAAAGATCAAAATGTTCGGAAGAATCGTCATAAAACCTATCAGCGGGGAGCACAGTGAAAAGAAAAGCCAAATTAACTTCGAATACAGCAGTGAACAAACGGACATAGAGGTTAAAATACCAACTTTACGATGCTCGGGCGGAATCGTCGCGAATTTCCCAAGAAGTGGTTACGTCTACCATGGTAAACTAGATGTTGAATTACTACTGTTGGCGAAGAAACTCGATTTAACTGAAATTAGTAATTGAAGTGATCATATTTACTTGGGCATGACAACATTTTGTCATTCACTAGACACAGCATAGTGTAAATCTCATAGACTTTTATATCATAGAGCGGATCAGAAATGTGTATTATATCATTTTCATTTGCTTAACATAAAACATTTTATGACAAACATTCATTTTAGACTCATTGTAAAATAAGGACTTTATAGGTATAAAGAAAAGCAAACGTTTCTATAATGATATAGTTACTGGTTAGGAATATTTTCCTATTTGGTCGAAATATGATGTTTTGATACTTAATCAGTACAGAAATTTTTCTTCATAATATCAACATGTTACTGAATGAGGCAATGGGACATTAATTAAGTTTATAATAGTTTTGTTTTATTTTATTCTGATAGCATTACTATAACTTTATGCATATCATTATACGGTTAGTATAGTGTCAATAAAGAGTTTCTTTATTACGTCACTTATACTTTTTTAGTTTTCTTACCATTTCTGAAACAATACAACTAAACAGTAGCATTTCTGTGCACCTTTCAGATTAGAAATATGTTTACCAAACTAACAATAACTTTGAAAGTAGATACGAGGCTGGTTCAATTAATAGTATCACAGCGCGCTAAATATATTATGTGAAACTTGTACACTAAAAGAACAAATTGCTTAAAATTACGGAAACGTTAAAGGGCCTCCAATAAAAGAGACGATGATGTGTAAGTCGTCTGATTTTAATACGATTCAATTTACGTTTAAACACAAATCAATAAATTTTATTCAGAAATATTAAGAAAAACGTTTACTTTGCAGAACTTTTTTTCGATATGCTGCGCGAAAAGGTATCATTTCGTCTTTTGTAGAACATTTGTCTTTTTGACAAAAACTCGCCTAGAAAAAGTAACTAACAATGACAAAAAGGTCTAGTCTTGTGCATAAAATAAATTAGTTTATGTTAAAACATCTTATCAAATTCTACTACCTATCGATCAGAGGTCAACTTTGTGATAATAATACAGAAATTACAAAATTCAGTAGTTTTTTACTTCTAGTACAACTTCATTCATAACGGTAAAATTCCGTCATTCTAAGAACGCAATTCATTCATAAAGGCGCGCGGGAATGACGTCAAAAACAGGGTTTTCTAGCACCGGTGTAAACGGTAGATTATAAGAATCTTACACCGGCTGCCGGTACAGACTGGAATATCTAGCTCGAGGGTAACTGTTTACGGCGGTAACGAGGCTCTGCCGAGTTTCCGCTAAACAGTTACCCGAGAGCTAGATATTCCCGTCTGTACCAACAGCCGGTGTTTGATTCTTTGTCTTGCATATTACATGTCAATTATTTTCGGAACAGAAATTATGAAAACTGATATTCTCATTACGCACTTTTTTCTTATAGTAGCGTATGAACTTACAACTTCATTCATAACGGAAAAATGACGTCATCCTAAGAACGCGATTCATTCATAAAAGGCGCGCGTCAATGACGTCATTTAAAGCACGCGACTTGTCTTACATGGGGGTGTAAGACAGGGCTTTCTAGCACCGGTGTTTGATTCTTTTTCTTGCATTTTAAAAATGATGTTACGGAAAGAAATTACGAAACTAATATTCTCATTTAGCACTTTTTTCTTATAGTAGGGAATGAATTTACAACTTCATTCATAACGACACAATGACGTCATCCAAAAGACGCAATTCATTTATGAAAGGAGCTTTGGGGTGACGTTATCTAAACAACGTGACTTGTCGCACATTGGTGGGGTGCGGGCGGGGAGGCGGGGGTTAAGACAGGTTTTTAGCACCGGTATTAACAGAAGATTTTCCTGTCTGATATGCAAGAATAATATTTATCCACACCTTACAAGATATTACCAATGAATTATCAGCGTTTGCACCACGTGATAGTCCAAAATAAATATTTTTTTGGATGTAATCTTATCAATTTAGCCTTTTCTTTTCATTTCGAGTCCTAATATGTCCATATTAAATCCATATCGTACCATATACAGTCTCGTTTTTATTTCGTCCAAATTAACAAATTATTATCATAGTCCACATCGACTCGTTTTCATCCATACACCCTGTCGGACCATATATGTCAAGGACCGAATATGGCACACGTGTGATATTTTCGGTTCGAATTTGTCACAAGTGTGACATATTTGATCGAATAAGGCACTCTCTTCAGCCGAATATGGTACACAAAATGTGCCATATTCGGTTGGATTGAGTTCTTCAACGTATTTGTCACTTACCAAACTTACCAAAAATGCGCATAAAAATGAAAATATCAACGTATACGTCACATGCGTTCTTTTTTCTTTCTTTTTTTTACTTAAATCCGTTTAGTTTAAAGAACGAAAAAGTAAAAAAAACAACAACAAAACAACTAATGACGGAGTCGTAAATACCACAACCGCAATGTTCATCACCATCATCATACTCAGCAGCATTATCATCATCATTATCATCATAGAAAGTGTATAATAAACAAATATTTCACCGATTTTTTTGAAAAATGGATAATAATCAAATATTTCCTCGAATTTTTTAAAAGTATATGTTACAATAGACATATATTTTACAGATTTTTTAAAGTGTATTATAAACAAATATTTCACCAAATAAGCGCAAAACATATTTCGTGAGTATCGTACCGCAATATCCATGTGAACAAAATTATATTTTCCTTTTGCACTAAATTTTTTTTTTATATTTTTTGCTGCTTGAACAAAATGATTCCAGGGCCCTTAAGAAATCTACAAGCTTTTAGTTTAAACATGGTTGCGAAACACATTCTAATCACTTTAGAGTCCGCTTCCTGGAACTAACCAGTACTGGTGTCAAATGAGGAAACATAGTCGTGACCCGGCTAGGTCCGAAATTTTATGCTAACTATTTTGGATATTTATAATTATTGATTTGAATATAAATTTACAAGTTTTTGTAAAAAATGATTACAAAATCATGAAATTTAATACTTAAACTAGTCTACTGTTCTGTCAATCTTATTACTCTAGGTCAAATATTTTTGGACTACATGTGCCACAAGTTGAACACTAAAAATTCTTTACTAAGTCAAGGGCAAGAACTTTACAAATACTGAATAAATCCACTAGCAAACCCCAAGGTGCATAAGTACACATGCTGACCAACATTCTTGTAAACTTTCAGGCCTACAAGCGAAATACTTTTTGAGCTATGCATGAACAAGTTGAAAATTGCAAATTTATACAACTGTAAGTCAAGGGGAATAACTCTTACAAAACTGAAATAAAATCAACATGCAAAGTCCCAGGTGCATAGCTTTGACAGTGAAGTTGGTTGATTCTAACACAAGCACTCAAGGAATAAATAACACAACATAATGAAATGGTTTTGACTGTTTGGTGCACAACTACATATGCTGAGCAACATTACCGTAAGGTTTCATGACTATGTCAAATCCTTTTTGAGTTACATGCGACACAAATGGAAAATTGCAAATTTTTACTAAGTCAAGGGCAATAACTCTAAAAATACTAAATAAATCCACACGAAACCACGTACCCAGGCGCACAACTACACATACTGATCAACATTCCTGTGAAGTTTCATGACTTTCTGTCAAATCCTTATTTAGTTACATGCAACACAAGTTGAAAATTGCAAAGTTTTACTAATTTAAGGGCAATAACTCTAAAAATACTGAATAAATCCACACAAAAATACCCAGGTGCACAACTGCACATGCTTATCAACATTCCTGTTAAGTTTCATGACTTTAGGTCAAATACTTTTTGAGTTACCTGCGACACAAACGAGAACGGACGGACGGACAAGGATAAATCTAAATGCCACCCCCCCCTAAAGTTGGGGCACAAAAAGTCGAAAATTTACCTTTGGCATGGCAATTTATTTTATCTAAACCATATGACACATTTGCCCCACTACCCACCTACACACAATTCACTGAGTCAATGGCTATAACTATGACAGCACTAATCAAGTTCACAAGTGAAATCCCAAATGCACAACAGCATATGCTGACCAAAAATCTTGTAAGGTTTCTTTACTCAGCTTCAAACACTTTTTAGCTACAGAGCCACACAGGTGAACATTTCAAATTATGACTTAGTAAAGGACAAAAACTCATTAATGTGCAAATCCACATGACAACCTCACGTGCACAACAATATTATTATATGCTATCAAATTTTGATATAAAAATTCAAGACCTTAAATAGATCTAATTGTTGTTTTTTTTTAACAACATGCATGGCAGGTAAAAAATTGCTGATTTTGACTAAGTAAAGGGCAATAATTCTAAATCGACGAGCGAAACCAAATATGCACAACTTCATACACGTAAAGTTGCATGACTATTGAACACCTGGACTGTCTTATGTGTAGAATGACTAATATACATGGTTATGAGTCCGAGATACAATATGCTGGGTCGAAATTCCAATATGGTTGGTGGAAATCCCAATGTGCTCCGTTATTGAAGTGTTGTGTTGTGTGCTGATTACATTTTCTTCAGCCAACTCAATGTACTGTCGAGTGCATTAGTCGTTATGTTCAGTTCTTAAAACAAACAGGCATGTGGTAACACAATTATGTTGAGTTAAAAAGATATGCTGTAGGGTGTTATTATGTTCGGTAATAATAATATGCTGTTTGGTGCTCTTCTCATTATGTTTAACCATGAAAATAAACAATTGAGTGGTACTATCATTTTGTTTGGCTGAGGCAGTGTATTATTGGGTGATACTTTCATTATTTTCAGTTGCAATGGCATGCTGTTGACTTCCCGCCGTGATTTTTATATATTTTTATCTATATTACACTTTTCAATTCATTACAAATCTACCGACAAAACGTTTTTTTTTTTTAAAAAATAGATATATCAACTGTGTATTTAAATTATCTATTTTTTAAAAAGACGTTTTGTCGGTAGATTTTTAATGAATTGATGTGTGTGTTATAGATAAAAAAAAATCACGACAGGTAGCCGGTCACAAAGGGAAGTCCATAATTTTTTTTTGCCATCAAGTGCCTATGAAATAGAACTGTTGAATGGCACTATATCATTATGTTCAGTTCAGATGATATACTGTTCGGTGCAGAGGTCATTATGTTCAGTAATGAACACAAATTGTTGTGTGATACGGTCATTATGTTCAGTTCAGATGACATACTGTTCAGTGCAGAGGTCATTATGTTCAGTAGTGAACGCAAATTGTTGTGTGATACCGTCATTGTGTTCAGTTCAGTTGATATACTGTTCGGTGCAGAGGTCATTATGTTCAGTAGTGAACACAAACTGTTGTGTGATACCATCATTATGTTCAGTTCAGATGATATACTGTTCGGTGTAAAGGTCATGATGACTTGGCAGTATGTGCATGAGAAGTATTTCTTTCTCTAGATAGTTCTGATATTTAATGATGAAATGAGAAGCGCCAATTTAATGACATTTTCA